AATATATATTTTTTTTTCGAGATATATATATATATATATATATATATATATATATATATATATATATATATATATATATATATATATATATAGTTATATATACGAGTAGGTTTATGAATACGAAACGCAAAGAGTGCTCAATATCATAAAGATAGAGCAAATGTAGAATTTTGAGGTAAGCGAAATTATATATATATATATATATATATATATATATATATATATATATATATATATATATATATATATATATATATATATATTTGTTTGAATGAAAAGCAAGCAATATAATGCCTATTTGAACTTGTCACATCCTAAAATATACTGCGCATGAAAGGCATGCATTTTTCTTGTTGTTTCATCTAAAATATATAGTTTTCTACTGCCAGAAGCGAGTAATATCACGTTACTAGGGCATAGAGGTCGAGACACATGCATTTGGATTTAATTCAGTTATGTAAATATCACGTTCAAGTGTTGCTGCATATAGGTATTTTTTATAAGATGACATCATTTGTTCTATAGTTTATAAGCCTCAAACTTGCTTTTAAAACTTAGAATTTAACCCGAATTTCTTTATATGACGGTTAACCAAGTATAATCTTTATCGTGGTTTGATAAAAGAACGGTAAACAGGCCATTACAACGGTAAATGGCGACTCCAATTTAAAACAATGACTAGACATATCATTTACTATAAAATCTTGCTGCTATCTCCGTTTACCGTTGATATCACATCAAATCTTTTGGGTCGGCACGAAGCTCTAGAAAGATGTTCTGTGATTGGTTGATTATAACAATGATAAAAGAATAAGCTATAGAATGGATTTTCTAAAGAACGACGCAAGAACAATATTCCTTTTGTTTATGTAAGCCAATTACGTCTTTTGTCATTGTCATAGTCAACCAGTCACAGAACATCTTCCTAGAGCTTCGTGTTTACCGAATCTTTTCGTTAATCGTTTGAAATGTTCTTATATATTAATATAAAAGGTTTATGCTCCAAAAGTCATGGCGATATACTCGCATTTCTTTACTATGGCCAATTTGAACATTGTACAGGCGACCCTTTGTTCCTCGTGGGGGTCGCCATACTCTAATAACCTGTGAAATGTGCCGATTGCCTATATGAAAGTAGCTGTGTAGACATAGCATGTCCATATTTCCATTTCTTTTTAAATTCTGTAGCAGTAGCTAATTGGTTCAAATGGACCAGGGAACGTTCGCACGTTAGAGTGAATAGCCGTTTTCTGAGCAAACCATCTTATCAAGTTTGACCAATTCGGTTACTTTTAGTGTTGGCCATGTTTTTACATTCACTATGCAAAGCTTTCAATGATGATATGGAATAAGGTAGAAATCAAGTTTACCAAAAGTCCAATAAATAATTTACTTTCATCCAGACGTGTATTATGTCCTCCTAATTAATTTCAGTTTACTTACAATATAAATATAGATTTTGCATCGCCTGGAATGATTGCTAATATGGATAAAAATTCCGGTTACCTACAGTACTTGCAGTGTAACATATATTTAATAATTTTTCCTCCATCGCAACACTAACCTATCTGCCTGTCTAACCATAACTCTCAAACAATTGGTACGCTTGTAAAATTCTCACATTCAGACAATCTTGGACATAACTGGTTGAGACTATTTTCCACCTATAGAAAATTCGCATATTTTTATGATAAACTCCATGTTGAATCATGTTGCCATTCTTAAACCCCCGCTCCCCCAACTCAATGTTGAGCTTGTGTCATGGTATATAACCAAAAGTTGTTTCGGCGTTGTTTACAACATTGAACTTGGGGGGAGGGGGAGACAAAGTTTGTTTTGTCAATGTTCAATAACTTTGTAATATTAGCTGGAATGGTCTCAAGGGTTTTGTCGAAGATTGTAGCTGGCCTCATTTTGTAGACTCCGTGTTCTGGCTTGAGGGTTTTTTAATTGTCATGTGATGACCAACATACAGTTTTCAGAAATAGTGATATTTTCGCATAGTTAACGATAACATAAATTAGCATTAATTAAATTAACGCGACAAGCTGCCTGGAAGCTACAAAGTTTTGAAAATATATTTGGAAGTTTTCGTTGCCAAACAACTTGTGCAAGATTTATTAAGTTCTTCTTTTCTAGAGTATTTGAGATGATTATTTATAAATTTCATACAAATTGATGTAGTGATTGTATTAAAATACGGTCGCGTTCCAGTAAGGACGAGATAGCGTTTAGAATAAATTAATTTGAATTTTGAAATACCTTACTTGTATTAAAATTCGCGTCATACTCATTTTCGTTGAGCTTTAAATTCGCGCACCTTGTTGAGACTTATTCGCGCTGCTTTAAATTCACGCAAGTAATTTTCTGTGTTCGTTCTTTTTGGTTTTTATTATTAATAGAACTATTAACGCTAACGTTTATTAATAGAACTATTATTATAATGCGTATTTTTGACTGACCTCAAGTCAAATTATATACACAAATATTTTTGAATGACCTCAAAAGATGGCTTCAAAATTATGAAACGTAAGCAAAAGGTAGGTAGGTAGGTAAAACTTTATTTAACTACGCTAACCCCTACAGCGAAGGCTGATTTCCAAGGGGGGCGTAGATTTAAATAGTTAAACGTAATTATTTTATTAATTAATTAATTAATTGGCCAAGTGTCGTATATGAATTAAACGAAGCAAGAGTATGTTTGTTTCTTGCTTCATCAGAAAGGCTGTTCCACAATTTCGCTCCTCTATAACTAAGACTTTTTTTAAGATATTCAGTCTTAGGTTTGGGCAAAAAGAGTTTGGTGGAAGAGCCTCGCATATTATAGTAATAAGAGGAAGACGTCCTTTGAAAAATATTGGTTAGTCGATTTGGCTCCAATTTTATACATAAGACTTGCTACGAAATGTATTCTGCGTCCATTTAAAGGTTTCCATTTCAGTTCGTCTAGAGCAAGCTCAGATTGACCGTGTTCGTTTTTACGGCCAGTAATAACTCTAGCTGCCCTATTTTGTAGTTTCTCGAGTCGATCAGAAAGTGTGGCACCAATGGTGTCCCAAACTTCGCAACAATAATCTAGGTGTGGAAGTATAAGTGCATTATAAGCACAAATTAATGTATTATGATCCACACAAGATTTTAGCTTTCTGATCGCCCCAATTCCGGATGAAATCTTCTTAGCAATTTTATCAATATGCTTATCCCACAATAGAAACTCGTCAATATGAACTCCAAGTGCTTTTGTTTCTTTGACCTTTTTAATTGGTGTATCACCAACAAATACATTTGGAGCAGCAAGTAAATTATTTATGTTGTACCGAGATCCTATTAGTAGATACTCAGTTTTGACTAGATTAAGAGATAATCTATTTGCAGTAAGCCATTGTTTAACGTTGGTAAGGTCATGATTTATGGCCACCTCTACATCTTGGATTGACTTGCCAGATACAGTTAAAGTCGTATCGTCGGCAAACATTCTTGTCGACGAGTACTCCAAACTGTTAGGCAGATCATTAATGTAGATCAAGAATAAGAGTGGGCCAAGAATTGAACCTTGAGGGATTCCACATGTAACCAACTTCGTGCCCGACAGAGCGCCATTAACGGAGCACATTTGGGTTCTATTCGCTAAATAGGATCCTAAAAGGTTTAATGATGGCTTCTGTAGGCCATAAAGATCAAGTTTCGTTAAGAGGATGTCATTATTTATGGTGTCGAACGCCTTTTGTAAGTCCAGAAAAACAGCTATATTAAACAAACCACGGTCCATATTAATAAACCATTCATTTGTACTATCTAAAAGAGCAGAGGCAGTAGAATGAAACTTCCTGAAACCAAATTGACGAGGGGACAACAACTCCTGTGTAACAAGATACTCATGGAGTTGTTCGTATAATACTTTTTCAAAAAGTTTACTTACTACAGGGAGGATAGAAATGGGGCGCGCGATAGTTGTTTAATAAGTTTCGTGGGCCGTTTTTAAATATGGGTGTGACTCTTGCTATTTTCCACTCAAAAGGAACAGTTGAACTTGTAATGGCCATATTGAAAATTTTTGTCAATGAGTTTGTAATTACAGGAGCAGCAATGCGAATAATTTTAGCAGGGATTTTGTCAATTCCAGTAGATTTACGAGTATTTAGAGATAACAGAAGTCTGTATATGTTCGATTCAGACACTGTTTGAAAATTAAAGCTACTAGTTGTTGTCGTGATGTAATCCTTGAAATTTCTGTCACCATTGTCGATATTTTTGGCAATATCTGGACCAATATTGGTGAAATAATTATTAAAACACTCCGCTAACTCCGTTGGTTGTGAAATTTGTCCTCTCTGTGTTTCAAGACAATTTATTTCTCTACTTCCTTGTTTACGGTTTAGGATTTTATTCAAAGTTTTCCATGCTTGTTTGGGATCATGTTTGACTTTCTTAAATTCTCCTTTATAATATGCTGCTTTTGTTTCTCGCAATGCATCAGTTACGCGATTTCTAGAGGTTTTGTATGCGTTCCAGTAATTTTCGGATTTATGTCTAATAGCAAGAGATTTAAGGCGATCGCGTTCGTGGATTTGTTTTTTAATTGTACTAGTGAGCCAAGGAACATTTGGTTTACTCTCTTTTCCCTGATTGGGGCATGCCTATCAAGAACTTGTACGAAAAGTGTTTTCCATGTGTCCCACATCTTATCAACGCAGAGATTGTTATCTAATAATTCCCATTCCTGACCACGCAGGTCAGCTTGGAAACTCTCAGCATTGAAATATTTTAAATTACGAATTTCAACTTTCTTGTGACTGTTCTGTTTGCGCTGGATATTTATTTTACGAACAACGAAGATCATGTAATGATCACTAATGGCAATCGGTATTACTTGTGATGTTATTAACTTAGATGGAGTGGGAGTAAGACAAACGTCTATTAGAGAGGATGAGGTCGTGGTCACACGGGTAGGTGCGTCTATCGTTTGCGATAATTGATATAATTCCATGATTGAATTTAAATTCTTTGTGGCATTGTTTGAGGTGTCAAGCATGTTAGCATTTAAGTCACCAAGTATGTAAAATTTCTTATTTTCATCATCTATTGTTTTTACTAATTGCTCAATTGTGGCAAAAGAGTCAACAGAAGCACTTGGAGGTCTGTAAATAGTACCGACAATAGATGGTGCAGTGGAAGGTTTGCGAATCTCAACACATATAGCTTCGAGATTATCTCTAGTCAGATCTTTTCGTTCTAAATAGTTAAGGGAAGTTTTCACATATAAACAGACGCCTCCCCCTGTTCTAGAACGATCGATCCTAATAAGATCATAATTACTTATATACATATCCTGGTCATTAATAGTATCATCCAATCTTGTCTCATTTAATGCAAGAATATCGAGACATTCATCGGCTAATATGATCCTAATTTCGTCAATATGCTTAGGTAAACTGGTTATATTAAGCATACCCATTTTGAAACCCTTGAAATCAGGGAAATATGGGTTAAATTGAGCATACCTTACAGCACCTGGCCATGCCTTATTTCAATTACGACTAAAGTGATTACTATAATTTCTAGTAATAGTGCTACTATACCCTTTCTATTTAAATGTAGGCCACCTCTATTTAGGCAAGTATAATCTAAATTAGTGTTGTCTATATAGGTCCATTTGTTTTGGTCAGAGACCCGTTTAAGAATGTCATTTACAGTTTTAATTTTGTTCTGGATATTAGCTTTATCTTTCCTGGTAATAATGCCCGATATACATACGTTAGTGCATGGTAGACTATCCTTTATTTGGGTTCCGAGGTTTAAGATACCCGCAGCAACTACTTCTGCCGTCTTGGAGTTATCTTTAATATTGTTAGTGCCTACATGCAATATTATCTCGTCGGGCTTTTTGCGTAGTAATGGTTTTATGTAATCTTGCATATCTTCAGCTTTACTCCCTGAAAAGGACTTTACAGATACACGTTGTTTATCGTTAGACAAAAATTCACGATAGCTAACAATTAATAAAGCGCGAATTCAAAATACCAACAAGAACTAACACAATAATGCAAGACGGATGGAGTCCAAGAATATAAACTCAACTGATTTGCATTAGTAACCACCCGTTTAGCATACACCTCAACGGGTATTACCCATATGTTCTCAATTGAGAATATTCGGTATTACCCGTGCCAGACTATCGCCTGCGCTACCTGAAGCTGACGCTTTCGCATATCATTATATATAAACCAATCACAATCGTGTTTCTATCACACGTTCTTCTCGAGCTTTGAGCTGCCATATTTGAAAACATTTCTAGCAGATTTTATAGTCTATTTGCGATTCTGTGCAATGAAATGCAGATGGGAAAGAGAACTAGAATAAGCGACAACCAGAGAGATATTTTGGAAAGGTTTTACGGCCGTTGAATGGTCGGTGTTGGTCTAAATTATCGCGAAATGATCGAAAGCGCTGTAGCAGAAACTGGCTTAATTAACAACGACTAGGTAGGTAAAACTTTATTTAAACACGCTAACCCCTTCAATACAAATTGATTTCCAAGGGGGGTATGGTGAAAAAATTTAAAGTTATAAAGGTAAATATAGATATCATAGTGATGTTAATGTTGACTATTTACTATTAAAAACACTAGATGACATACAAAAATATACTAATATAAACTGGTATCAGGCCTTGCTTGGATGAAAACCAAGATACTTGATCAATAGTGCAGCTACTGTGCATTCAAGGCACTATTTTCTATGCACCTACTTATTAAGCGAGAGTCTACTTCGTATATTGTTATTACATGCCTAGTTGACAATCTACAGGCCAAAAGAATGAACTTTGTCATGAACTTACTACTGTAACATGCATGTTTCCCCTTTGAAAAGTGACATTGTCTGACGTTAGACAAGTAAAAAAAAAGTAGGGGCACTGGGGCGCATTAAGTCTCAATGGGTTTAATAACTAGAGACATTGTCAGATTTTTCGGTTAACCCCCTTAAAGTGCAGAGCTTCCCCATTGGCATTAGACAAGCAAAAAAAGTAGGGTGCACTGGGACGCATTGCGGCTTAATGAGTTAATAGGCATGCACACACGATCAAGCGCCTTCCTAGGCTAGACCTGTAGGGGTGCACCAGAAACCATTTTTTTAAGTTCCGGCTGGAACTGGATCTGGCTGGAACTGGAAGAAAGTTCCAGCTGGAACTGAGTCATATGGTCATATGTTACTTTGTCTGCTGCCAGACAGTCAGACACTTTCAGTCATGAAACAGAGAGCATGCAAATTTATGTTAGAATAAAAAGATTGACTATTGTTAAACAACATAATGAAGTGTAAATATCCATGTGTTTGAGTCAAAATAGTATAAACAATCGAGTCATTTTATAGTCAATTGAAACCATTGTTTTACCTTAAATGAATTGAAAGTTCAAACCTAGCTTATATATAAAAAATATCCGACTGGATATTCTGGCCGGATAGCAAAAAGCTCTACCCGGTTCAGTGGTTTACCCTAGGCTTACTAACATTGTCTTGGTGAAGCAATAAAATGCAAATATTCAGCCATGAAATATACCCATGTGATGATTCATCAGTTTTGTATTCTGCTCTTTTATGCTACATATCTAATAACAAAGTGATAAAGTAAGAGTAAGAGCAAAGAGAAAATTACTCTGCATTGATATTGTGTGCTTCAGGAAATATATCTTCAAAAATGATAGAACTCTGGCTAGGGCTTCTGTGCAACTAACACTATTAAAACCACATCATGTTGCATGTTTTATTTCTTTAAGAAGGTTTCTGATCGTGCTTTTTTGTCGCCACCATGACAATGCACGTCAATGCTTTTTGTTTTGCTAAACCGTGTTTTCTTGTACATAAATATATAGGATCCTTGTTAAAAAGATTCAATAAAGGTTGAGCAATTGTTCACAGGCACGGATTTTCTGGGGGGAGGGGTGCGGGAGGGGGGATGCGCACCCCCCCGAAATTATTTGCACCTCCACCCCCCAAAAAGGCATTTGGCACCCCCACAAATTACATCAATTTTGATATGATAGTTTCATATTTAATTATTCCTACTACTAAATTTGTAAAATTACCAATATTATGGTCTCAGATCTCGCCATGCAGGCCTACAAAACAAATTTTGTTAAACTTTTTCCTTGGTTTTTCCCCCAAACGAAAATATGAAAATCCGTCTCTGATTGTTCATGTAACTCGTAAAAGGGTCAAGATTGTGCCATATGGGGGAGGGGAGGGGGGAATTTGGCATGTTGCACGTACTTGTCAAATCGTCGAAATGAGCTTGGTGACCTCAACTTTTTTGTCTGTTTTTATTCTGAGGATATCATAAACTTCACCCCTGGAAAGTTTCCGTAAATTCTCATTCCCAGAACAATATTGATGAATCACCTTGAATCTTATTTTTATAATGTCCTTTAGATGAGTGCAAAGATTTGATGTGGAGTGTGAAAAACCAGTTGGCTTCTGCAGCATGGAAGCTCACAGGTGCAGATGAGAAGCAAGTGTTCAAGAGTTCATCAGATGACCTCAAATCATGGCAGTTGGCAAAAACATGAAGCACAGCCAGGAGGAAAAACCTTTAATCTTGCCCGTTTATACTGAAGCAGAAGAAAGGTTTTGGTTATACTATCTATCACTAAGCCAACTTAAATACAGCAAAAGGACCACTTACAAAGATTACTGGTTGGACCTTAGTCCTACTAACTGAAGGTTACAAAGTCCTGCATTCCAAACAAGTGACTTTACTGGGGAAAAACATTATTCGTATAATGCATGGTCCCATGTATTTCACACTGACTGAAACCTTAGGCCAGTCAAGGTGCAACCTTCCACTAGGAAATAGGCCATTGAAAAAGCTCTTGAAATGCTTAGTTAAGTAGCTAATTTGGAGTAGTAATGTAAATAGATTTTCCTATACACTGTTAAAAATTGTGCAAAATACGTTTTATTGTAGTCGCTTATTCTCTATTTTCTAAAGGTCAAACTTTGGAAGGACCTAATAGTAATAGTGATCTAGCAAACTTTGAGATTTGTCTAGGCATTTAATATATGATCTAACATTCTTTAACATTGATTTAGGTATGTCATATCCATGATCTATTAATCCAAAACTCTTTAATTTATGCTGATTTTGGTATTTCATATCA